CCCCCCCCCTTAAAACCAGCTCTAAGTTTTGCTTTTACCTTGGAAGTGAATTTTACTTTGGTGATAATGTTGTCTACATTGTAGAACTGTGAAGAGTTAAAATTTTTTGTTTTCTCACAAAATGATGGGTTGAAAAAGCATACTGCTCTCTACTGTTTAAATAATCTCATGTCATGAGTTCATACAGCAGCTGTTCATGATGGTTGAAAACTAAGTGAAGATTCTGGTGTCAGTTGAGATGACTAAAACTGAATAAAGCAGTGACCAGCTAACATAGCAGAAATCTTTTCAATCAGCTCTAAGACTTTTCATGGCTCAGTAGTATCTTTTTCATGGTGAAGTTTGGATGGGTATCCAGACTGCATCTGAAGAAAACTGTGGAGATTACCAAAATGGCTGGGGAAGTAGCCGCGGGGGGGAATAAATGAGGGAGGTAGCATGTAGCTATGTATGTTGTGATTCTTTAAGCACATATATGTAGTGATGTTGAGTTCCTTGGAATTATTTCCCAGTTTGGAACTGCTGCCATCAGAATGTTGGGAGACCAGATCAGCATTGGAATACTAAGTCTTTCGGATATGCTTAATCATGTAACGATTATGGAAAAAGAATGTCCAGTAGCTTAGACACACATGTAAATAAAGCTGTACATCTAGATAAAAATTGTAAACCAGAATTCTTTTGAGGGCTTTGCCTACTTCAGTTAGTTCAGTTCAGAGGAATAAAGAGGATGAGACACAGTACTGACAAAGCCATTTGTATAAAGAGGCAGTTTTACATATAATGGGTGGTGGTGCTGGTAGCAGTGTGTCTGTATTTCCTGTGAGCCATAATGAACTTAGAAGTATCATGTTTCAAGGGTATACATAAACTAAAGGGATTTGTTGTTGTTGTTTGGATTAAATTGTTTAGATAAATGTTGCAACTACAATGAATGCAATACACGGAAAACATTGTGGGATTGCTTTACTGTGTGTTTTATTGTTGTGTTTGGTTTTTGTTTGGGGTTTTTTTTGTTAAATAGACCTTTCCTTACCAGTGTTTAGCTTTGGTGTGTTTAGTTTGACTACCCTTTATTCAAAGGTGGCAACTATGGAGGTGGTCCTGGCTATGGCAGCAGAGGAGGTTATGGTGGTGGCGGAGGACCAGGATATGGAAACCCAGGTGGTGGATATGGAGGTGGTGGAGGAGGATATGATGGCTACAATGAAGGAGGAAATTTTGGTGGTGGTAAGATGCCAGCTTTATTTGGACATCCATGTTTAGGCAGGCCTGAGTTGTACATTGCCTGAAATATGATACTGCATAGAATGAGTTGCATAATAAGGTCTGAATGTAGAATGGAAAGTTCTTTTTCCATCTGGATCAGCTTCGATATGTTATACAACATTGCTTTGCCTGGAACTTATTTTTCAAAAAGCAGCAGCTGTAAATCTCTGTGTGGTGGTAGAGTAGAAGAATTTTGAAGCTTTTGACCATTCGCACTACGCTGTTGCTGTCAGATACCAGTTTACATCATGTAGATCTCCTCCTTTGTGAGGATATAAATCTAAGTTTTGCTCCAAATTGGGGAAGCTAAGCTGCAAAATTGCTGCATACTTCATTGTACCCTCTGATGTGTATATGCAATGTGCCTGTTACAGTTCTATCACTTTTTGGATCAAAGAAATTGTATGTAGTTTACGTTGTCATACATGCAAAACGGTGGGCAGTGGAAGAATGCCAGTGAAACTCATGTACTTCTCTGAGTTTGGAGGCCTTAAATTTGGCTGATTGTATTCAAATTGCCTATGGAAATCTATAAACTTTCTAATGTCATGTGATGTTTTCACCTTCAATGAAATAGCAGTTTCTAATCTTAAAATGCTAAGGGTCTTCTGTCATTTGTGCATTGTGAGTAGAGAGAGCATGTGAAATGCCTGCAGTTCTATTTTACATGGTTTTAAACTTAAAATTTACACTGGATATCATAATGTTGCAAGCGCTCAACACTTCATATGTTGAGCAAAAGGGGCTTTATAAGTCTGTATTTGTTTCAGGTAATTATGGTGGAAGTGGAAACTACAATGATTTTGGCAATTACAGTGGACAACAGCAGTCTAACTATGGTCCCATGAAAGGTGGTGGCAGCTTTGGTGGCAGAAGTTCAGGCAGTCCCTATGGTGGTAAGTGTGATTTTGTGCAGAAAATATTTTTTTTGTTAAAATTTCTTGTTACTCTTATATATCAATAATACACCTTGTTTTTTGCAGGTGGTTATGGATCTGGAAGTGGAAGTGGGGGCTATGGTGGTAGAAGATTCTAAAAATGCTACCAGGAAAAGGGTAGGTGTAATGCATATTTATAATGATGATTAATAATGTACAACTGTTCACTGAGAGTAATAATTTTCTTATCCTGTATTCAACAGGCTACAGTTCTTAGCAGGAGAGAGAGCGAGGAGTTGTCAGGAAAGCTGCAGGTTACTTTGAGACAGTCGTCCCAAATGCATTAGAGGAACTGTAAAATCTGCCACAGAAGGAACGATGATCCATAGTCAGAAAAGTTACTGCAGCTTAAACAGGAAACCCTTCTTGTTCAGGACTGTCATAGCCACAGTTTGCAAAAAGTGCAGCTATTGATTAATGCAATGTAGTGTCAATTAGATGTACATTCCTGAGGTCTTTATCTGTTGTAGCTTTGTCTTTCTTTTTTCTTTTTATTTTCCCATTACATCAGGTATATTGCCCTGTAAATTGTGGTAGTGGTACCAGGAATAAACAAATTAAGGAATTTTTAACTTTTCAATATTTGTGTAGTTCAGTTTTTCCACATTTAGTACAGAGAACTCTATAACAGAAATAAAATGTAGTTTAGGGTGTTTCCTTGTTAGTTAATAGAGAGGATTAATGCATTTCTCAATTACTATTTTGTATTAATTTAAAGTTAACAATAGAAACACCTATTGATTTGCAGTCTTAAGGGGTCTAGTCTCAGTGTATATATGTAACTGTCATTGACATGAGTTACATAGGCATACAGAGGGAAAGCATCTGTATGTTGCATTATAGTTTGTTTAGATGTATAACTAGGATTGAGTTACTCAAATTAGTGTTTGTGAATTATAGAACTAAGCTTTACCTTAATGAAAATTTTAAATTACTTTTTGGTTTGTGCATATTTTTTTAATTTGTAGTTCTGTATTAGTACTAGCGCTTCAAGAAAATAAGGCATGATAAATATTTTAACAAGACCAACTTTAGACACATTAAAGCTGTCTCCCGTCTCATTTGAGATGTATAAGGGATAACTGCAGTTGCTTAAGTCTTGGCTGAAGAGAAAAAGAAACTTGCTTTTTACCTTTATATTTATTGTAATTCCCGAGAAGTTAAGGTGGGGGGGAATCAAGTGCCTGTTTCCTTGGGATATACAATGATTCTGTTTCAATAAAACTATACTTTGGGGAGGGCGGCTTGGAATTTTCATCCCCTTCCTTTGTCCCCATTTCCCCCTCCCTCACACCAGACTGTGCTGTTTCAATTAAATGAGGCGTCATAGTGAGAGTAATAGGTGTGTTCCTCACTAACTTAATGGCTATATACTTTCTTGCATGCACCCTAGGCAATTTTCTGGACACATTCTTCTGACTGGGAGCCAAGGGTAGCACAGGTGTAATCACTGACAGTCCCAGGTAACGCGTTCCAAAAGCCCGGTCACGATGGGCTCTAAGTAGTATAGTTCTCAAGCTTTTGCCCTTGCGAATGTCTGTGCTCAGCTGAGAGCTCGAAGATAAAAACAAAACACAATCTAGTTGTACCTTACTGACTAGAAACATGTCCCGCAATGTAGAACGGTACAGTCTTGGGTTTCCACAGGTAGAACGATAGTGTGTTACCATTTGATCTGATGCACTGGAGTAGCAAATCTTATCAGCACATATGGCTAGAAATTGTACCTCATTCTCACTTCTGACCTCCAAATTAAGGCACTACAGTCTGTCCTCCTCTCATCTGACGTGAATTCTCTCAACTGTTGCCAGGACAGTGCTTTCTGTCAATTCAGACTCAGAAGAGTAGGGACCCAGTCAATAGAAGAAATGCTCAGACACTTGACAATATGGTATTGGAATTATTCACACCTGATTCACTGCTGGGTCAATGTGCAGTATAAGGTAAATGCGATTCCAGTGTAGGAATGAATCTGCAAAGATGTATGAAATGGCTCAAGGCATAATCAGTCATATTAATAATGAATTATAATTTTAAGAAGTAGTAGAAAAATGAGTGTGTTGTTTGAAAAAAAAATTAAACAATGTTATTTAAACACTGTTATTGGAGTGTATTTAGACTGCAGTACACTAAAACAAGGAACCAATGTCAAGATGGTAGCCTCCAAACTGGATTTCAAAGTCTGCTTATTCTTTTCTGTGGAGTTTAAAAATATCTCTAAAGTTAAAGCAAGAATTGGTGATTTAGTGAACGCTTTTGTTGTTGTACATATTAATTTGGGCTTGGGGTGGGGGCTGTATTTCAATAAAGGCTTTTTTTAAACAACCCATTTGGAGTTTGAAAACACTGGAAACTAAACCACAACTCACTAGGGAGTGAGCCACCTAACTACCGACTTGCTTTGTACGTTACTGTGCTTAGAAGATGTGTAGACTTGTACGTGGGGCCTGCATCTGATTGCAGGGACAACTGGAGGATGGGGTTGGTGTCCCTTCTGACAATTGATCTGGTATTTCTAAATTTTTTTAGAATGTATTGACAGTGTTCTTTTTAACAGGGCCTCTTGTAGCTGTACTGTGACAACAATGTTAACTTTGAAAAATAGTGTCATAATAAACTCTATGAACAAGATCTGTATGCAACCTTTTAAGAGATGGATGTAAGTGACCGCTTTGTAGGTGGGTGGGGTAGCTTAGCTGTTGTTTGTGATGTGGAAAAGCGTAAGCCGTGAGGACAGTGATTAACCAGCTTTAAAGAACCTAGGATGTACTTCTTTGATCCATACTTTGCTAAGGAGACTCGTAAGACAGGACTTCAGCAGCCTATTGAGTATGGAGAAGTCAGCATAATTAAAGAATGACAAGGCAGCAGGAGCAACAGCTTCAACTTCCAGAAAAGTGAAGGCATAAGATACTGTGCTGATAGTGAGCAGCTTTCCAAAGGCTAGTTAAATCTGCTTATCACAGCTGAAATATCGAAGAAAGTCTAGCAAGAGTTCTTCACCTTTTGGAACCTCCTTGAGTGATAGCTACTTGAGTTGACTCAAAATCAATAGGTCTAGCATTTAGACCTGAAAGGAAGGGCAATGAGCATAGGTAAGGTTTGCCTTTAACATTTTTCATGAATTATAAAGAGTAGTGGGAGGTTTTTAAACAAGGTAAGAGTAATTTCTTTAATTTTCAGGTTGAATGAGAAGCTGCTGCTTGACAAAATGGGGAATGTCTTGCACATCTTCAGTTGAAGGTTTCTGACTGGGTAAGATTTGTAGCATATAGTAAAACACTTGTTTAACCCTTACTTCCTTCTAGACTTCCCTTTGCCAGCCTTTTGATACCAAGGAAAGTATTAAGGAGCAAGTATTTCAGCATATGTCATCCAGTGTTGCCTGTTCTGGGTGAGGGTTGTTTGCTGGCCTAGTTGCTATTCAAGGATCTTCTAATCCTGGCAGGTACAAAACTGTCCATGATCAAGACAAATGATAAATGTGTTGAAATGCGTGCTCTAATTACTGTGGGGAGTGTACCGTGGGGGTTTGGAGAAATTGTTCTTTACCTTGTAATAGAAAGAGACACCTCACAGAAACCCGGGAAGGTGAAGATACTGAAGCGGTTCATCACAGTTCTCAGTAGTGGGTGATCCACTGCTGGTGCAGTAATTCTGTAAAGGCACTTTTCATTGGTTAGAGCAGCAATTTCCCTCCTAATAAATGAATCTTGGCTTACAAGGTGGGTTTGTATTTATCTGTACAAATCAAGAATTACCTTTCACATTTTCGGTGCTTTCAGGCGGGGTAGTTTAGTGAAGGCCAATACTGTCACATGATACCCAGCTGAAAGCACAACAGCATTTATACAGATGAATGGCAATAAAAGAAATTTTCATGGAATCTGCTTTTATACACATTGGTTCTTAACTCTTGGAACATGTGTTTCGTTTTCTGCATCTTTGGTTACAGGTCTGGGGTATTTTTAACTACTTTTATATAGTATTCTAGTACCTATTTAAATCTGCATTATTTTTGTGAAGTCAATTTCTATTTTAGTGTTGGTTATGCCTCAGTTACTCAGAAAATAAAGTCAAATGGAACCTGTGCATTTCAGTTTAACCTGGGGCTTAGGCATGTTCACAGACTGATTGAAGTATTTGAACTTGTTACCTACTGTCTCTATAAACATCCAGAAAGCAAACTCTTAACATAGTAACGTACTTCGCAAGTAATTTACAGTGGTAAGGTTGAGATGTTCCTATAATCTGGAGCTACTTAATGGAAATCTCACAATGACTAATTTTTAAATATGTTGACCAACGTTTTTGCTTAGCTAAAGTTGAGCTGAAATTTGAAACTGCTGCAGTAAGGTCGTAGTCTGTCCTTAGTGTAGTGTGCCAGGCAGCTTGTTGCCAAGGTAACAAGCTTGCTTTCTTACATGTAGAGGTGGAAAACCTTTGCTTTTCCTCTGCTGGGCGGAGTTTCCTTGTGAACTCCCCTTAGGCGTCTGTCTGTATGTAGCAATGAGTAATGGGGGAAAGTATTTGTGTCTCACAGTTAATTGGTTGAGGGCAAATGCTTTTATGCGGGGGGGAGGGAGGGGGGCAACCGTTACATGTAATTTTTTAACAGTAAAGTCTTGAAAATGCTTTAGCAAAAGCAAGGTTTAACAAAAACTGGTTTTCATCCATTACTAGGCCTGCGTATAGAGCAAAGCTCTACCTTTCCTTAACATAAGAGGACTCCGCATTGCTGCAGACTTGTTCTGTGCTGTGGAGGGGTCTTTTCGCACCATATATAGAACTAGTCACTGTTGTTTCACACTTGGATTTATAACAAATTATAACATATATTAGACTAATTTGCTTAATTATTCATACGCCAATTTGTTCGGAAATAAACCTTGTCAAAGGTCCTTAAGAAGTACTTGGTCAAGTGTATGTCCAAGAGGCATTTCCAAGAGTTAAGAATATTTTTTGTGGCTGGGTTTTTCTATAGCGGCCACTATTGGAAACAGCAGCTGTAAATGGAGATGTAAAGTTAATGAAGCATTGGTCCCTAAGCTGCAGATCTACAGAAGTTTGATATTTAAAACCTGTGTGTTAATCTAAATGGTACTTACAGGTAGCAGAACTGTCCCCAAAAGGGGCCTAGGTTGATGCAGATGTGATAAGTGGTTTGTGATTACAGAATACTGAAATTAATCACAGACTCTTAACTTTGATATCCTTTACACTTTTAAGGTGGGAAGGGGAATGCTCCTAGGCTTTCAAGCGTTGATTGTGTGATGTACTGACTTGCTGTCTTTGGTTCCTGTGTTTGACATGAACGTGTTTTCATATACTGTCTACTGCGGTGGAATGTTCACGTACATATTGGTCTGTGGTCTCTGACAGTTTTTTGTTTCTTAAATTGTGTGGAGCATGAAAGATCTTGAGTATCACTAAAATTCAGATATCTGATGGATGATTCTCTCTCTGCTGTGGGTGCTACAGGTTGACATCTCTATATAAGATTAGCTTTTTCCTGAACTAAAGTAATCCCAAGTATCTCCGTAGAAGAAAAATGGCCTTCATGTAGAAGATAATATCGCAAGATTGGAAACAGAATAATGTAATAACTGGCAAAGACTTCAAGAGCAATGGTGCTAGTGTGCTGAAATCTTAGAACTTGTGGTTAAACAAGTTTAAAAATAGCATGGAAATTAAAAATTTCAGTATAGTCCATAATGGATTGAAATTTGTTAAAATATGTCAATTTTGTATCAGAATAAAGTGTATATTGTCAAATGACTTACAATCTAAAATGCGTTGCCATCACATTTTTTTTGTACTGTGAGGAACACAAAGTCGTCTTGCAACACATTGAGTTACAGGATCATCTTGTCAACTTGGGACTGCAAGTCAGCAAACATTGGTTTAGCCCAGCTCCTCAGCTTTAATAGTTCTAAAACTGAATGTTTTGATCAAGCAGTGTTCTCCACGTTGGAGCCTTGTTAGTGTATGAGGTTGGCATTGTGATGCATTAGACTTGGCAGTGTCACTAGTCACTCTCGGGTTTGGGAACATACTCTCTACCTCATTCATAATAAAATGAAGGATATAGTTTGCAATCTGGTGTTTTCACATATACCAAAATAATCTAGTGTGGAATATTTTTTTCTTCAATGATGTTGAGTGTTTCACTGCGAGTATACCATTCACTGTGTTCATGATTATGAAAAGCACTGATTTAAATTGAATGCAAGCGGTCGTGATACGAGTTACTTCAGACTGGTTCTTTGCCTGGTGGAATTCAAACGTGGCCTCTGCATTAACTGCAGGTTTTTTGTTGTTGCTGTTTTCGTCTTGGTAATGGAGTAAGTATCCCTACATTAAGTTTTAGTCATGTGGGTAGGACAAATACAGCGGCCCCTGCAAAGGCAGTAAGGATTGTTATTTGCCTTTGGCTTTTGCATCAGTGCTAAAATAAGTAACAAATTGGAGGGCAGGGGTTTACTGAGGTCTCTGTAATTAAGGTATCTATATTAACAGCTAGAGCAAACATTTTCTCTGCAAGTCGGACATTTGATAGCTTAGTTAATGGTGGTGGGCAACCCGGAGCTCCTCTTCCAGGTTCTCTGTGCTTTGCCATCAGACCTACCTGTTGTATTAGAGCTACTGTGTATCAGTGTTGAAAGACTTATCCAGGGCCACAAGCTGGGTGCGATTCCTCCATAATGCCTATGCTCTGAAGTTGATATCCTTAAATACAGATTAGATCCTCTTGCTCTAAATAGCATTCTCACATTTATCTACTGTTCACCCAGGCTCAGCAATTGTTAAAGGTGTTTTCCTTCCTAGGCAGTGCTGGTGGCAAAGTTGAGAGAGGCACATATGAACAGCAGCAAAAAAAATATCCCTCACTGATGCAGTATCTCCAATTTAGTTTAGCTGGTGTTTGGCTGCACTATCTAGAGCAAATAAATCTGCTTTGTCCATCAAACTCAGCCTCTAGGTTTTCAACTGTTGGTATTGACCATTTGCTCCAAAACGAGGTGTGTTCTTATGCTTAGAGTGTGTCAAGGACAGTGCAGTGGAATGGAGTGACATGCTGGTAACATAGAAGGTCAGTATAAACAAGGTAAGCAGCCTCAGAGAGCAGGCAGAGGCAGCCGGATTTACATTTCCCAGTGTCTTCTGCAAAACCAGATGTTACTACTTGATGTAATGGGCAGGGTTCCTAGCACTTCCAGGGATGCTGAAAATCTGAGGCTGAAGTTTTTTTTCACAACTGTGCTGTTATCTGCTGCCTCAGACACACATTTTTTGGGGACAGGACACTTGAAAGTTTACAGCAAGTAACACAGCATGAGAAGTTGAGTGAAACAATTTTCTCTTCAGGAGGGCAGGGCCAGAACATCTGATAGTCCCAGGTTTAGGAACCAAAGATTTCTGGTCATGGCACTACACCTGCCTTTGAAAGAGGATATAGTTAACAGGATCAATGCCATGGTTCCTGGCATTACCCTGCCCTGGAGCAAAACTACCTTCTTGGTGAAGTTGCTGTTACTGCTCTGCTTTCCTACTGCTGCTGCTCTTCTTAGGTTAGAGGGAGAGAGAGGGGGGGTGTGTGTGATTGCACCAGGTACTAGAGGGGCCTGTACTATTCAGAATCAGTAAATGACAACTGGAATATGACTGATGAGGTGACAATGATTGGAAATAAATAATTTGGAGTAATAAAAACTGTTTGCAAAGAGTTACATTTTATACTACTGTGACTAGCTGGATAATAGCTTCTGAAATTCTGTGCATACAGGGAAAACCAAAATGTACCAAGGTAATCAACCTAGTTAATACTGTTCAGGTGAGAGAGCTTGGAGTCACTGGAGAGTTGTATGGAAGCAGCAAACAGCACAGAGCAGCCAAAACCAGGAGACCTTCCACAGCATCCTGACAGAATAATATTCATCAGAACTACAGCTTTCTGTACTTCCTCTTTGTACCTTTGGGGTTTTTTGAGCATACTCGGATCCATAAAAAGCAATATAGTATGGAATTGGGGTTATGATAATCTAAAATCATTCCTTTGGCTTTCATGACCAGCCATGAGAGCAGATGCTTTCTGCTGGGTATGCAAGTCCAGCATGGTTTATAAAAATCTCAAGACAGAATTCACTAATCACTGTATCATTTCATTCAGTCTTACTCCAACTGTGAATAATGAGCTAATGGAAGGCTGATTTCCTACTCTCCTGTCTCTCTTTAAGCCCTTTTTCCTACAACATTATTAAACAATCTTTGCAGGTCCTACTCTGCCCTTTTTTGCTATCTCAAATTATTTATTTAAAAAAAATGTACCATAGGGTCTTTGCAAAACAACTTGGTGTTTATTTTACTAAATGAAATTATGCATAATATTGTAATAGATAGTTTTCCTAAAATTATATAGAGTATCAGTAGCAGAAAAAAATATCAGATTAAACATGTCTTTTAGAAGTTTCATAGGGAAGATGATAAAGTTTTTAATGTTCATCAGATCAACATGTATTACAAATTATGTATTTTTTGTATTGAAAAAAATCCACAGTGATCAAGTACAGAGATCCATGTGAAGAGTAAATAAAACAATGCTATTTGTTTGCCAAATTTTTATTCTCTTATAAATCATAATTTAAAATCCACAATGCTTTTCAATTAATTGAGTGCAGGTTCCAAACAGTACAGTTGGTTGGCAGCTACTGTGCCTTTTTCCATAAGCTCCAAAGTAATAGCAGTGACAAATGATGCTTGCTAATTGGAGTCGAGATGCACAGTGTATTTCTAGAACAATTACTCTAAAGTGTACAGAATTTTTAGATGGAAAAATGCATAATGCTGACAGTGTCTTAACAGATTTTAAATGCCTTTGAAAGAAAGATCATCAATTTAAGTAGTGTTCAAAGAGCAAAACAAAAATTATGTAAATTTAGCACTGACTTGAAACTTAACTTGGTGTTACACAATCCTTCCAAATGGCAGGTTAAAAATTATGCTGAACAAGCATTAGTAATGCTGACGGTGCTGAGTGATACATCTCTGGTTATGAAGCATATTTGTTACATGAAGACTTAACCTTGGAAAACTAGTGAGGATTTCCCTTTAGGGTAATAAAGGCGTATGAAGTAGAGTTAAAAAAAAAAAAATTAATGAATTGGTAAAGCAAAATCAAACACTAAGTATCAACTTTTATACTAAATTAAATTAATATTAAATATAAAGCAAGTATAAATGTGTAAGAAAAATGGGAAACAAACTCTATTGCATATTTATAAAAAAGTATCAGAAGCCATACTATTTGTCTTGCAAGAAATTATATTTAGAAGGCTAAAATCATTTTTTTATATATATATATATATCAAATCTATGAATATAACAAGAGATAGGAACAGTATATAAATATGGTATCTTTAAATATTTACATCTATATGGAAACTAGTCAAAGTGGTGCTATAAGATGGAAGTGTCTGTTATAAAAGTGAGATTACAAATTTTGCATACATCCATCTGCATTACACTATTAGTTTTAAACTTGAATCTTCCATAAACTAATTATTAACTTTAAAATTATCATTGCATAGAATTACCTGAAAAACATTACCTAATTCTGCATTCCACCTCACAGTAAAAACTATCAGGATAATGATACAAAAATAATAACTCTGAGAACAGCAGCCAGCTGTGCTGCCCTTCAAAGTTTAGTCTCTGACTTCTTGCTTCTAGGAACAAGAAAGACATTGCCATCTCTAGTTTGGTGCAGTGAATAATCACTAGGAGAGTAAGACTTTCCATCTTCGTCACGTAGCATGCTGAAGACCTCAAGGTATAAGGTGGTTAGTTGCTTTTTCATTTGACGAAGGCTTTTGTCATGCTCTCCTTTTTCCTTAAGCAATTTCTCTTTCTCATCTTTTAGGTTACTCAAGTCTTGCTCCAGTTCCACTATATTTTCCAGTTTTCTTTTACGGCAATTCTGAGCAGCCACTTTGTTCTTGCCTCTCCTGCGTATATCTCGAATAAGCGCAAGCTGGGCTTCACTGAACTGCTCCTTAGACATCATTTCATTGAAGTCATCAACAGGGAGATTGATGATTTTTTCAACAGGAAAAGGGATCTGCAGAGCTTTTGCTCTTTGCTCATCTCTTGTGAGATGAGCTTCAAGGCGGCTTGAAGGTTTATCTTTTGTGAACGGAGCCTTGGGGTGGCCTGGACTGGCAGGGGGTTCTTCCTTTGGTGTGTTTGTACACTGTAAACTAGGTGTTTGAGTGCTTGGCCCCACAGAGGAAAACACTTGATCCTGGAACTGCAATGAGTACGTGGTAGCATTGCTCTGCGGCACGCTGCCAGGAGCACTGTCCATGTCTTCCATTTCAGAATCACTACAACCAGAAGTCTTATCTCCATAGGCAGATGATTCAACAGAGTGTTCAGGTGATGCTACACTAGAACTTGCATTCAGTGAAATACCAGAGTCAGAATCACTACACTCTGGTACGGTTCCTGAGTGGTTGCCATTAAAAGCTTTACACAGTGAGAAATCTGAAAGATCTATAGGTTCACTTAGAATTTCTGCAAGTGATTGACTGATAGTGTGTGTCGTTGCTGTGTCACCATTCGCCTTTGTATCAATAAAGGTGGCGTAGAAATCCTCACAGAAATCAGAGTTTGAAGGGGACATGTCATTTAAAGAGTTCACACTCAGCTGACTAGTGTCTTCTGGTGGCAAAATGCTGGAAAAGGGGCCCTCAATACTATCCAGGAAATCTGGACCACAGTTATCTTTTCTCATCATGGGTAATGAGCTGCAGTAATTATAGCTGTTGGGCATCTCTGTTGCCTTGGTTTCAGGGCTTGTGATCGTGCTTACCTCAGCCAGGTTATCATTTTCAATGTTAAGACACTACATGGGAAATGCAAGAAAGAATTTGAGCAACACATCTCCAACTGATAAAACCTTTTTCTATAATGCACAAACATTAACTGTTTTAGCAATCAATGTGGACATAAAATGGGTATTACAACGTTGTTGTAACCCAGACGACTACAGCTATGGAGAGACAATCTGGGCAGAAGACTAGATACCTAAGCAAGGGTATGAAGCAACTTGTTCTGGACAAAGCTGGTCAGATTAAGAGAGCAGAGCCTCTTAAACTCCTAGCAAGATGCTGAAGAGACCCATTCCAATGCTATATGGAAGCTGCACGGAGCCCTCCTGTTCTGGTAAATTGCTAGTGGGGATCCTGGAGCTGCCAGGTCTGAACTTTTCACAAGCACCACTGCTAGGAATGGCATGAACACAGAAAATGTAAAATTACTGAATGAGACTCAGTGAGCATTACTAGCACACAATTACTTCTAGCACTCATGTTATGTAATAGAGTTCCTCAAAACCCAAGATTCTTTTAGGATTTACTGAATGAAGCAGCTGTTCAGTGCAGAGAAAAGTAATTCTCAGTGAAGTAAAAAGAGTACTAACATGAAGACTTGCAAACATAAACTCACCCCACATACTTTTATTTAATCTGGCTAACACCAGTGACTGTCAGACTGTTACACTGACAGGCTTTCATTGGCTACAAGACCAATGTTCTTTCCAATGGGGTGGCAGTTTCTTAACTGAAGCTGAAATAAGTGTGCCTGCTGTCCCCAAAGAATTAGGCAATTACCAAAATGATTCTGTTTCTCTTAAGAAGGGACCGCACACTGATTATTTAACCAGAGATCATTCAAGGCTTGAGCTAAGGTTTTGAATGAGAGCTCTTTTTTTTTTTTTCTTCAAATATAATTCATAAAAGGTGATACCACCCTCAATTTAATTAATCTCACTTCTTTGAGAAAATTATTCAATTACTAGTCAGAATTATTGTAATAGGTAATTTTGGTTTGGTTTCTTAATGTATTTTCAGCATCACTGCTGCATTTTCACAGCCAATTGCCCTTGTTACTCATGTGGGGCTTTTATACCTACCACAGCAGTAAAGTTTAGGGAACTATGAAAACTTTCTAAAATATAAAAAGATGAAGGGAAAATGCAGAATGGCAGGAAAAATGCAGTTACTGCAAACATGGGGTTTTGTTAATACAATTCAGGTCTACAGGCATTCCACCAAGCATTCATCTCTAGTGTTAACAGCATAAAGTAGAGCAGCATCATGCTGAAGCATGATGACATTCTACAGTAAAATATTTGAAAATAAATTTACTCAATTTTATAGTCTAAAGAAAATATAAACATAAGGATAGGAGGAAAAGGAGCCCTAGCCCTCCTCTGTAATGCACAATTTAGAAATACAGCTATGTGATTTTTTTGTTCCTTTGAAATATTCAGTTCATGTACGTTACATAATTAGTTCTTACTGAACATACATAAACAGTAGTTACAACCGTACCTGACTCTTCTATGTATCTAAATATTAGCCATCTTTACAAAACCTTTTCCTTAGATAGAAGTTGAATGTAAAAGTAACCATAAATGATTTTCATAATCAGACACTTCAAAAAACCCCAACATTTACCATAAAGCTTGTGCAAACAATTCCTCTTGTACATCCATAATCAAGAAGTGTCCATTTTTAAGCAGCTGAAATTTCAACCATGATCATGCTGTAACAAGTTCCATACAGAGGCAAACAATGATTTGCTAAACATAAGGAAGTCCCGATTGGGAAGATAGATTGTGTTTTATTAAGGCCTTCTGATAAACAACTGATTTCCTTTATCCTACGTTTTTAAATATACTATTTTTAAAAAATTAAAGCGTTACAGGTGTAGGATCCAAGATGATAGTTAAAATCACCATCTGTTAAGTATGCTACTGTATTGCGGTCTCCGAAATACCACACTCTTCCAAAATATCACGCTATTTTTTTCAGGTGCTTATACTAAACCTTTACCTGTAACTCTGGAAGAGACAGTAATTCTTCCCAAACTTGCTCTATGTTCTGCATATTCTCTGCATCAGTAAGTGGAACTAGGACAGGCGATTCAGGTGGCTGAGTTTGATCAGCAGAAAGGAAGACTGGGTTGCTATTGATCTGAGCAGGAACCAATGACTGAAATGCAGCTGAAGAAGTCTAAAGTATTTAAAGAAAAAAAAAATTAAAAAACAAACCAACACAACAACAACAAAAATACCCCACACATTAAAAAAACCCACTCAGAAAAACAGCTTTTAATTTTCCAAAGCAAAATCTAGGTTTTGGCATTATACCATTTCTGCAGAACAAACAGATATTTCTTAACAAACGCATTTTTTTGTAAACAATGGGATAATATAAAAATACTCCCATGAAAAGTGCTATCATATTAAGGATAAAAATAGGGAAAAAAATTAATCTAGAAACTGCGTGGTGAAGGGCTTATCCTTACACATCAAATAGTCTAGATCAGCATACAGAAAAAAGGCAACTCAAGCACACTAACTCCAGAGATCTGCACTAAGTTCACTGTAACAAACTGACAAAGTCCACTACTGTTATTTACAGTAAGTGCAAGGGCTGCCATCAGCTGGCATTATACACTGAATCCTGGCTACAGGATTCAGTAAGCAGAAGGAACACAAGAGTACCACTCCACTCCCTCCAGACACAGCCCTAGTTTAAGCCTACTATACTGCTTTATTCCAGCTGGGAGTCAGCTTGAGGACAAAACTCGAATCATATCACAAATTAATATTATGCTGAAGACAAATACTAGTAAGAGAAAACATGAGACTGATCCCCTAGAAGACCACCCATGAAACCGCTGTACTGAGCATTTTTACCTCATCGTCATCTATAAATGGGAATGCTTCTGCCAAGAGCTGCATGCAGTCATCAAAGGACAAGGCCTCTGCTTCTGGTTTTGAAGTCTGTGTGGTCTAAATAGGAAAGTTAAGAAAAAAATGTTACTGCATCTTTGAATAACTGAAGAATCTTCCATTACAGCAACAAATGCAAATTAATTTTAGGTAACCACTAATATTATGTCTTCCTGTGAATGGAAAAATGTTTAAACGCACTCACTAACACATATTAGAGCTTACCTGTGAAAAACCAATTGGTGGCTCAGTATTTTCTGACTGAATGCGCTGAGCTGGCTGAACAGGAACAAATTCACCTGTCTCTTCGTCTAACTCCAGCTGAGCCAGTAAGGCTTTCTCCTGCTCTTTTTGGAGCTGCTCTTGTCTTTCCTTTTCGAGTTTCTTCTGTTTCTCGAGTTCATACTCCTTCTGTCGTTGACTAAAATCAAAAACTTCACGCCTTGCCCCAAGGTCTATATCTTGCCTCCAAAGGATGTCAATCAAGTTCATGTCCTGCAACAGAAATGTTTTGGGGTTTTTTTAAGCAAGCATCCTCCCCAGCAAAACTGGTTTAGAACAATAGCAAAGCTTGTAATTTCTGTATTAAACAGAGTCGTGTAACTGAGGCTTATTCTCTTAATCCTAAAGTTATCTAAATAAAATATGGCTCTATATGACCCTTCTGAACTGATGGCTCGGTTGCTGTGACCGGCACAGAGGCTCATAGCAACTAAGCAATTTTTTACAACTGGTAAGGTAATACACAAACTAGCCAGAGGATAAATATATTCTTTTTGCCTAAGTTAGCTCACAGAAAACATGAAGCTATAGAATTAATTGTATCACATTAAGAAAGTCATTTTTAGGAGAAAAGAATAAATTGAAAAGTTTGCCCATGTAAATTTTTTTCAGATGGTCTTATAAAACTGTAAAAGCTGACTAAAAATATGACGGGGGCTGTCTGAAGTAACTATAATAGCCATACTACAAAACATTTTAAAATAAGATTTATGTTCCATCCTGATACTAAGTATTAAAGATCAGCAGAACAGGGCTTCAGAGTCACAGGATAACCTGTTTTCAAAGTCACCAAGTGATATAACATCACTGTAGCACTAAACACAATTATTAAGACTATTACTAAAAATCTGTAATTTAAAGCTGAGTCTAAGTTGATGTTCTAAGTGCAGTTGGTTTGAAGCAGCTGGGTATAAACTAGGGGTCAACAGGTCTCAAATACTATTAATCAGTTGGCCTCTGGCTCATCACGGAGTCAGTCATTATCAGACAGCTAACAACCACCTAAATTTCTTAGAAATCAGCTACCCCTCACACCTGTAGTGTTTCAGAAGATAAATTAAACTGCTCTTTAGGGAAAACCAACTGGTTAATATTATTTGATGTGGCTACAGTTTCTTTTAATTTATTGCATGAGGGGTTTTGGGGGGGGGAAAGGGGGCTAACGGATTGTTTTGGGGTTCAAATATTCAGTATTTTTAAGGCCTGAAGTCTGGTCTGTTTTCTTCTGTAAAGGAAACCTAACACTCAAAAAATTATCAATTTGGATGTCTACTGGTACAGAATTTTAATGCTTGGTAGACACATTTGTCAGATGGGTAAATGCCAACAATTTCTAGCTGGTGCCTTGGAGTTTTGATTTCATGGCATGTTTCATTACTCTTAAAATTACCTTTTAGCTGCAGCACACGAAAATAATGTTCAGTGTTGGGCATTCTCATCAGGCTAGCACACTACAAATAATATATGGAATACTACATTTCATTTAAACAGAACTTTACTGCTTCAGTTACCACTTCTACGCCCAAGACACATTTTTTTTTTGCCATTATTAAACATTCCCTTAACTCTCAACACTATTTTCAAATATAGAAGCAAAGTAACCTGAACACTAATTCATGTTGCCATCCAGAAAAATCAATTCTGTATATCAGTTATGACAAAAAGCTTCAGGGCAGGTCCACTTTTGAACAAACCAATTCAGTATTCTCATTTCTTTGTTAAAAATTCTGTACCATTAGCACTCATGTTTACACATAGCACGAACTCCTTCTACCAGTTACTAAAAAAATTACTTTTCTCTAAAATCAGGCAGTTACATAAAATATCTGTGTGACACAATGCAGGCATTCCCAAATCTAAGACATATTTAATTCACCTTGCTAGGAGAGACCAAACTCAGCTTTAATGGCCAGCAATGAAGAAGCTAAAATAATCACAGTGGCTGCCCAAGACTATGTTTGGTCTCTCCAGATTGGCAGGTTAAAACGAACTAATTAAGTTCTGCAGTAATTGGAGATATTGCAATATGGTATAGCTTCATTAAGGGCCAGTAGTTTACCAGCTGCTCACTGTCTCCTTCTGCAGCAGATTCAAAACTGTTTCCTAGTCTCAGAGCATTTGCAATATGTTCTGGATAAAACTGCAGGATCTGGATTTTAAGGCTCATTTCTGAATTATTCATTTACAAGGCACCATTAAAAATGTGACTCAAAAGATTTTTTGTGTGTGTATAATGCATGCTGTGAAATAACAGAGCTGGTTTCCTCCCCAAGCTGCAACAGACTACAGCACAAAAAATAGCAGAACCGACAAAAAAAAAAAAAAAAAAGAGGTACAGAAGGCATAACATGTTTTCCTTAAGAAGAAAACCCACATAGTCTTAGTGCAAAAACTTAAGGCACAGCTATTAAATCTTTCAGCCATACTATTGGCTATATTCATTGCCAAAATAAGTAGCTTTCAGTGCTGCATCGTTTGTGGGAAGAGAGCAACTGGACCAAAAAAAATGCTGTGGCTGTATACTACCACCTCTGCATGTGTGCAGCAATTAATTCAGCAGGCAAGATTATTTTTTGAGTGAATTTGATAGCATGGTTTTCAGGATTTTCAGGATCTTGAGCTGTTGTGTGAGAAATATTACAGCACTTAATGGATCCTGTTACCGTTCTTCAAGGGACTGTATTTATTTCAAGGGACCTGGCAAAGGGCTAAACAGTGTTGTGCTCTACCCTGGAGAGAGATTTTTTAAAAATTTTATTTATTGTTGTGTTTGTGGCACTTGAAACCCAAAGGGTGGTTTGTTTGTTTTGTTGTTTGGGTTTTTTTTTTAAATCACCATATAATTGGAAAAGAGCCCTCCTATTTTCAATTTGGAAAGTTCTATATAAATACAGAATTATTAGACTGAACTTCAAATAACAATTCAAGTAATAACTATTCATGTGCATGGAAGAAGCGTTCTGCTCAATATGCTAATATGTAATATCATCAAACAACACACTGTTTTAAATATTAACCTGACATTTAACACTTATGTATAATTTCAGCCAATGCTTTTAGTAATACTGCCCTTTTCAAGAAAAAAAAATAATTCTGGGCATTAGTCCAAAGTCTCAGGTCAAAGTTAAAGGAGTCAACACTGGCCAGTGATTCACTGAGGAGTGAATCACAACTCCCAGCACAAGGTGATGGCAAGGAACTAAAAATAAATAAATAAATAATTTGCGGTCTAAAGCAAGTATTTTGCAATTTTGTTCCTTCAGCCCCGCCACAACCTTCCTCTTTTTATTACTTCTCTGCCTTGAACACTATCACACACATACACGGAGGTATCCACAGACACAGGCAGGCACTCCAATTTAGGTTTATCACTGAAGCATTTTTTCCCCTTCCACTGTGAAAGCATTGCAAAAATAACTCTGTATTTGATGCCTGGAGTGTTTAACTAAAACTATTAAAAGGTATTTTACTTCTTGCCTGTGCAACAGCTACCCTCTGATTTTTAGATGCCTCAACACAAAGTGCCAGTCCCAGATAGATTCATTTGGAGGGACGAGCAAGCATAGATTCACATTCGAAAAGGAGCACATTCACTGAGAGTTCTGTGAAAGATTCATGTGACCCAGGGCTCGTCGCTGCCCTTTGGAGCCACACTAACCACTTCCCTTAACATCAGATGTGATTTACTGTAAAGGCGCCAGCGGTCCCTCATGTGACGGCGTCCACAAGCACCCGTTTGTTCTTTCCTCTGTTGTGCAATGTCTTGAATTGCATCAGAGGAAAGGATGGTTTTGGCTGAGTCCAGCGGCGGTGCGGGCAGAGCCAGACCCCTGGTGCAGAAGGAAGGACCCATGCCGGGCAGGGACCGCAGCCGCTACGCTTCCCCCACAGCTACTGCTCAGCCCTTGCCCACTGAACACCAACACCTATTCTGAGGGGAAATACATTATGGTATTTCATGTGTGTATTACTATTGTCCAACATTTCTAACCTGGGAAAATAATATGGTTTTAATATTTTTCCCAAGCAAACCGTGTTTTGATTTTGTTTACAGTATTTTCACAATTTTGTCAACAGAGAAAGAACTCTCAACAGAGGACATGCTTTGCTTTCCCATGATCCATGTAAGCAGGAGGTGCCTCGTATTCATGGTTTGATTTTTTTTGTTCATTTAGTGATATGCTCTTCCAACCACATTGATAGCTTACTTTGGACATATAAAGGCACTTTTAATAAGATAAACATAAATGTTAAACAATTCACATTAAGCCACCATCTGGCCCCCAATGGAAATTTTCATGTTTTAGATTTACATATCAGCATTTGCCATCTGGGCAGAGTCTGTTATACATTTTATGAGAAAATCTCTGACTACATTGTAAAGTTTGACAATTAACTCTTATTGCTCCTAAGCAAACGTATTTGTAGTAGGGTAAACAAAGGGAAGAGACCCTGTTTTCATGTTATTTTCATAGACTGACTTTTATGCTTTAAACAAAATGCTAATCTTTCATTTCATCCCTGTTTGGTTTATCTGGCTGGTTTTATTTTTGTTTGAAATATAAGCCATTTTCAGGTAGTACTGGTAAAGTGGAAACATCCAGTGGCCAAAGTGTCAGCAGAGAAACAACCAGTTATCTCAGACAGTGCTTTCAACTCATTATTAGCTATCTCCTTAATGCAGAGCACATCATGGGTTTTGCACGTTGACTTCTTAAAGTCATGTCTTTTGCAACATAAATTGGGGTAGTAGATGCTAGCCCAATGCTAGTAGAATATCTCACCAGACAAAGATTTTTCTGTCCCACAATCCGTTAGTACCTAACTCCAAGAAGAGATTTCACATGCCAGCATGAATAAAGGCAAGAGCAACAGAATCGACGGCTACTGCATCCAGCAGGGAGCTCAGACCAGGACCCCACAAGCAGCAGGAAAACACTTCTATAGCTTACGAAGAGATGGCAAAGTATCCCTCAATTCCTGTTTGTTTTCCAGAAAGTCAAAGGCATGAAAAAAAGCACCTTACATTTTTGCTTAACAAAGTGTGTTGGAAGTAAGGATCATGGACCTGAGATACTCCAAGGCAAGAATGAAAGGGAGAGCATCAAGTAATAGAGCAAGTGCCAAGAGGAGCTGGAAGCATCTTACCACTTAAGAAAAGCACAGGCTGTGGAAGCAATAGGTGAATGTCTCCCCTTCATTGTCCTCCAAGGGACCTGATTTTGTTCAAGTAGGTTTTAAGAATGATTTATAAACCATTTGATGTTTTTAGATGATCTTAGAAATCACCATAACTAGTAGTTTGTTTTCTAAATCTATTTCAAGGTAGGTTACTTAATTACAACTCAATTACAGGAAAAAATCCTTAGATAGCTAAGCCTCATGCTCCAAAGAAATCACAGAAAGCAGATAAAGTTAGCCTGACACCACAAATCTTTTTAAAAACAACTGAGTTTTGACCCACAATTTTCAATCCCTTACAACTAAAAATTGAAGAACAAAGGTTAACTCCAGAATGTTGAAAGGACAGTGAGGCCATGAAAAACTTGAACAAGCAGCAGCCCTTATGTGAAGAATGGGGAAAAGGAATGGCAGAAGCTATTTACGCTGCAGGGCAGCAGGGTACAATAGCAATTTTAGATGTCTGGATTTAGGATTTGGAAATGTGACAGAACAGACAGCTGTCAAATAAAGCCACGTGACAGCAACCTGTGATTTGTGACTACACAAGGTCAAATCCCTGACCGTCCTGAGGAGCTGCCGCCTGCTGTCCCACATTCTTCACCATGACGTTCCAGGCAATCTAGGAGGAAACAGGGTGTTTAGGTGGGTGTGATGGGGTGTCTTGTTCTTTCATACCTGTGCCACTTACTACTGGTGTGACTGGACTGACACTAAACCAGTATGTCTTGACACTAAACCAGGCTGCTTCTGCTTCTTGATGTCCTTTTGCTCTTCCTTGCCCTTAAAGAATCTTTGGATGCCCAGTATCTTGGTCAGCAAACCCTTTTTAAGCCCTAACAGGCTAACTTACCTGAAAAAGAACTCTAAAAGGGTTGGAAAGCCATAGCTTTAAAGAACTAATGTTATATTTCAACTCCATGTCTATATAAATAAGACTGTTGAAAAATGCTGACCATGTATCTTGGGACATTATTCTGCCCCAACAGAGTAATATGAAATAAGCTTAGTCCCTGAAATCCAAGTGTTTGTAGGCAGATTTAGTTTTCTTACTGAAGAAAGAAAACTGGAATGCTTTGCAAGGCCAGGAACAGAAGTAGTCTTGGTATTTCATTAGCTAAAACTGTTCAGCCTGTTTTCTCCTAACATACATGTCATATTTCAGACCATACCTCCCACTGTATTCCAGCAGGCTCTCCTGATAAATGCCAAATTGTCAGGATCTACTCTTATAAATTAGTTTAAAGATTCCTTGCCTGGATTGTCCAGCATTCTTAAGAAAGGTTCACTGCAAGCCTTGTCTAAGCATTATTCTGACAAAGACAGGGAGAGACTCTGGCTGGCTGGAAGGGACAGTATTCCCCTACAAGTGCAATTCTGGACACTACCCACATACTCTCCCAACACTCACTCCAGAAATACCTCCCTTGAGAGGTGAATGATTTATGTATTTCACCTGAAACATCACCTTCCAGAAATGGTATCAACAAAGGCTACAACTAAGATCCATACAGCTCCCAACATGATGGCTTTCCCATATGATACATCCTATGGCAAGCAAGCTTTCCAAACCGTCAGGGAAAACATATACTTCATATATTCTCCAGTAAGAGTGAAAAAACGGGTTTTTAAAGGCCAAATAATATAAAATGAGTAAGAATGTAACTGCAATAAAGAACACCCATTGTAGGCTTTAATGTACTAACTTCATTCCAACTCCAAAAGCTTCAAAACCCTAATGCTAACAGCAAGACCACAGCAGGTAAACACCATTATCAGAGAGACAGCAAAGAGAAGGAAAAGGAGACATATAAAGAGCAGTTTACTTCTTCACTTTGACGATAGTTTTCTCCAAAATCAATCAATCCTCACCTCCATGCCAATCCTTAAAATACTGAATATGTGTGAGAGCCTCACAGCACTCCCTTCCAGCCTGGGGCACAGCAGCGGGAGCAACATTCTCCTCTCTGGCTCATTAATCTCTGGAGTCAGGAATACATACATATATCCTTTTCTCACCATACATTAGGTCTGCCTTGAGGTGACCATTTCTGGAACAACAGATCAGGGGATTCTTTCTCAGTTCTGCAGATCTTTTTGCAGAAAATTGTTTGGTGCTCTCTCTCAGGCACTCCAGAAGTAGCTGTGTTTTTCTAAATTGTTTAATCAATATGTATTTTAGAAGGCAGCTTTAAAATAAGAGTAATATAGAGTACGCAGTTTCCAGGGGCTGAATTGTCCCAAGACTGATCCTGCCTCAACATCTTAAAAAAAAAATCAGGGGAAAAAAAAAAAGCTAAAACCCATCCCATCTGCATGGCTTACATAAAGGACAGTCTTAAATCTGACACTGGTACTTGCTTTCTTTGTACAACGTCTGATTTTTCAGCAGTCATTCTCTAGTATTCACAGCCAAATCTGTCATGCATTTTATCTGCTCCAAATTCCCCTATTTCTGCCTTAGCCTCAAGGAAAACACAGTGAGGTTGAATGTTGTGAGCCAATGACAATCAACTTGAATAAATTTAGCTATGCCCATATTTATAAGCACTACCCCGGCTGCTAAGCAAAAGCCAAAAAAGGTCACAGGTGTCATCCCACTTCTTTAAACTTAGTCCTAAATCTCTTGACATCCCAGTGTGCTTTCTGGAACATCAGTATCTAAAGCAATGAATCTTACATGTTTTCACAGCTTTGCTGCTTCAGCTAGATGGGTTCCATTCTTCCCTTTTAGGTCTTAATTATATTGTGTTAAATTTAAATTTCACTTTTCCACAGTATATTTGGCTGGTATAAAAGTGTTGTGGTCCTTTCTACTCAAATTTTGAATCCCTCTTTCAGCTTAACAGAGCCATTAATTGATACTTCTTTACTGTATTTTGCACCAGCGGCATTACAAAATGATTAAGTCAATAAGCACACAAAGTTAATATGTATTCAAGTTACAATCTATTACACAAGTTGCATGATGAAATTCGAAGGCAGGCAAAAACATGGGCTTGTTTTATAAAAGACTGTGTTAGGCTATTTGTTTTTACATGCTTAATATATCAACAAAACTCTGCTGTGTTGCCCCAGCAGGTAAACGGAGTGATTCTATTGTGGCTGACTTTCTAGCTGTTGTCTAATCACCAGGCACTGTACCATTAACTCCATTTTGAAAGGCATTCAAATAGCTGTCTCAGACGCCTACCTCATTTCAGAAAAAGCTGATCTTAATGGTTTTATTTGTGTTTGGTTTTCTTTTCTTCCTCTCAAGTCAAAACGGTATCATTAAAAAAACCTAGCATTTATTGAATTTTGTCATTAATGCAGCAAAAAAAATACTTACCCTACATGTAAACAAATAATACAGAAAATATCAGCAGTGTTTTCAGATGTATCTTTTAACCATAGGAATACAAAAGCCTTTATGTCTCAATTCCTTTTATATATTGAGCCTACAGTACTTGAAAAACAATTACCTGTTAAATGATTATCTTCAAGCTATCCTGCTGTACCCAGCCAGGCATGTGCTGTGCAAGGACATTGCCACAGGCTACTCATTAGTTTATCTACAAGAGGATTTGTTCATAATAATGGCTCAGTCATCTGGGAAACATGATCCAATCAAATTATAGCACGCTCTTATATCCAATGAAACAAATCAAGAAGCAAGAAAAGATGAATGTAAGAACAGAGAAAAGAACCTAAGAGAACTGCAAATAACATACTTATGTGTATCAACCTTGGGTTATAACCTATTAGCCACTATTTTGATTTCGTCTGGATTACACGCTTTTTGGAAAAAGCATGTTTCAAACCAGCAATGAAAACAGTGTGCTTGTGAGTCAAAATATTCTCTGGGATTATTCAGAATCTTCCTTGTACTACACACAGCCACTGCACTGGGATCTTCCTGTAAAGCCCCATTTTTACCTGTCATTTTGCTGATGGCTGGGCAAATTATAGGGACAAGCACCAGATGGGGCATTACAACTGCACTACAGCCTGGATGTGGAAACAGCATGCTCTAGTATCATAAGAAGCATGTTTCACCAAGTTTCACTTCACTGACCTTGCAAGCAACCAACGTTGTTGCTGTTGTTCATGGGCCAAACGACAATTGCAAGCAACAGGAATATCTCTGTGTGTTATAAAGCAATGAGGTTCACTAACTGTACTGCCAGCTTAAGATTACAGTTACATTGCAGGGAATATAGCTTGCTCCAGCTGTGACATGTTCTGTATACATCGGCACACATAGGGCAGCATGTGTAGGTACCTACCTCCCACTGCAGTCTGGGGGGCACAAATACCTTTGTGGATCAGTCTTGCAATTAATGTGCACTTTTCACATACATAATTTATAGAAATAATGCTGAGAATTCAGTGTCAGTGCAGAGTGTTGAATAAATGAGCAGGGTCACTTTTTTATTTTGGAGTGTTCAACTTCAAATACACTTGGAAAGGTTATTTAGTTTCTACAAGGGGAAAGAAAAAACAACAGAAAAAATATACTGTTATTCAACTGGTCACCACAAGATTGTAACAGATTTGAAGAAGGAAGGCCCAGTGTGGCAAATTTCTGCTGCAGTAACACTATCTTCCCAAACAAGTAGTTCATGGTTAAACAGTTTATTTGGTACTCATTAGTGACATACTACAGAAAAGCTTCAGTAAGTAACAATACCATTCAACTGGGCACTGATGACCAAAAATGCTCTACCTAAATTTACATGAAACATCATAGAAATCGTTATTTAATTTGCATGAAAGGAGTATAAATAGCTTCCCCCCTTTCTCCAGCTACACCAAGATAGAGAGTTGTTTTTCCATAGAATGAGCCAAGGATAGATTTTACTCATTTTCTTAAGCACTTGTAATTCGCATATTTCTCAGCAAAAAGCAATCCTCTAGAAGCCATCAACCCCCACAAAGGTTTCAGGAAGCTCTTCCACTTGAAGGTCCTGCAAAGTTAACCGAACCAGAAAGCTCAAGAAGCACCAACATGTCAGGCATTCATGTGCCATTTTATTAGTTTTGTACACAATGACAGCTTTTACTTAAAAAAAGGTAAACCCACTGAGGAACCAAACAACAGTGTGAACAAAACTAAAGCTTTGTTTCTGTGTGGTGCAATCCAGTCCTCGCTTTTTAAAAGTCCTGTGTAGTATTCAGTTTCTAAGTTGCATATCATATTCAGTTTATAAGTTGTATACCAATTCATCTTCCAAGGCATGAACCAGAGTAGGTAAACGGTTTTATCCCTCTTACCCAATTATATAAAAGCAGTAATTCTCAATATCCTCAAAAGAAGAACAACCCCTCAAACTCAACCATCAGTAGCTGTGTTCTGCCATCCAAATCAAGAGCCTCTACTACTCACCACTTTCCTTGGGGCTTCCATGTCTGTCCCTTTGGAGTACACTGGAGGCACCCAGCCTGTACAGCTGATTACCACAGCGATGCCTCTTTCAGCCTTCTGATTAAATGGGCAGATGTACCCAAGAAATCAAGGCAGAGGCTAATCTCTGCCTGACCTGTGTCCCTTCACACACTCTACCAGCACCTACAATGGCCAAAATAAGACTGTTTGCCACAAATAATGAATATGTCAATATACCTCTCTCATCAATAAGCAGCATACTCCAGGCCTGTTAATATGGTTAACAAAACAATATGGGGTGGGGGGTAGGGTGTGGGTATCCCATTTGCAAGTATATCACAGTATGTTTTGCAGACTGTTTAAAATCAGCATATACAGATTTTTTCTAGTAGAAGACTTTACAGAAGATTTGATTGCTTTCCAGATGTAATTAGAATCGATTTGTTGAGCAAAAAGGTTAAAATGATCACTTGTAAGGAAAATAAGGAAGGCAAGGTCGGGTTTGGATCTTAAAACAGCTTTCTGCCTTTGACCAGAGCACTTTACTTCCTTATGCCTCAGTAGATACTTTGACGGGGGGGAAATCATATTATAGCAAGTTATCAGTAAAAATGTCAAGATTCTAAAATTTCTCTGCAGCACAGTTAATCTAGACAATGAGTAGTGATTTACCCTAACAAGATCTCTCTCTCAGAGTCAGCTATGAACTGTTAATTGTCATTACTACTTGCATTTTATAAGACCTTGTTCATCATCTCTGTCACATACACACACAATTTATCAAAAACTCTCATCCCAAGCTTCATTTTAAATTTAAAATAATTCTATCACTCTGACCTTAGTAACATAGTTTTTGAGAATAATTTAAAGCACTCCATTAACAGTTTCATTATTTAAGTGGCTTCCATTCTTCATTTTGCCAGCAAAGACAAACTTCAAGAGAAGAGATGTCTAAGATGTTCACACTGTTTATCAGCTAAGCAATGATTCCCCAGAGTGGTAAGTGCAGACTAGATTCCTGAAGTGGCAGATGATAAACGATCACAAATCAAGCTGGAAAACATTCCACAGAACTACACCATTCCAGTGAGTCACAACAATTTATATTAGTTGACGAATTGACCTGATAATATTTTAGTTCAATCACTAAAACCAAATTAGAAAGCACAGTATCAAAAGTCACTGTGCTGTAATTCTCTCCGTTAGGGCATACACAGCTATGAAGCACCTAAACATTATGTACATTTCCACAGCCAAGGAATTCAACTTAAATAATTTTGGAGACCAGCTGCCAGAAGTTATGACTTATATAGCTTCAAATATAAGTTCTGGTTTTTCATATTATGCTATTTTAATAGTACCATTTTTATTACGGAAGTACTTCCATTTTCATCCTTAGGTATCTTAAATTCTACTTGTTTCAAAAGTTTACTCAGGTTGGTTTGATTTATCTTACAAATACCTGTGGGACAACCTCCCAGAAATTCCTCAGCTGGCACAGATCTGCTCAAGACCAATCTACAGTAGAAAAAATATAATTCTGTGTTATAAACCAGAAAATATGTCCATACATCTCATGTCAAATAATTCACAGAACGTTGCACCAGGGTCTATGGTATGCTTGTTCCAAGGGACCTTAACAACTGTATTATCTGCACCAGTGCATACATATCAGTCACTACTTCTGCAATACCAGTGAAGACAAGCGTTAGTGTACCAAGCTGGGGTGGAATACTCCCATTGGCACATCTCGGATGACCCCTGCTGCTAAAGTCTCCACATTCTCCTTTCAGATATGAAGCTTCTGAAAAACAGTTACCCATCTGAGCTGAGCTGCACCAACCTTCAGCACCGCCTGCCCACGCCTGACACTCTCTTTTGCCCATCATTTTATTATCCAGCTGATTGCAGAACGTGTCATCCGGTCACGTAACCGCACGCAAACTAACTGGAAATACCCTGGTTTAGGACAAATTTCAGCTTTCTTACCCAACAGCACATAACTCAAGCAAACCGTTCCTGAAGGCAGAAAGAAGAAATGAGCGAGTGTCCAGGCGGCACAAAACACAAATGTCAGCTGCAGAGCAGAGAGAAACACTGGCCATCTTACATGGGAGCAGGCAGCATTCAGAGTGGCAGAGCCACATCCACAGTGTGCTGCCTGGGAATTCTGAATGGGGATCGTCCAACAGCCCCAGCACCACAGGAATTGCTCCACTCTAATTATAGCAGTAAGTAGGGAGGTACTAATTTTACCACAAGGGCTCAAACAAAACCCCCCAGGATCTTTCTGTCTTAGCCCTTTATGGCGAAATGGCAGTGATGATCTGAACAGGAAGCAAATCAAAGTCACAGCAGCTTTTCACATAACTCAGCTGTCACTGCTTCAACGTTTAGTGGGCATTAATTTCAAACACAGCAAATAAGCACACCCTTAACCATAAAAGAAACCTCTGAAAGGCAGGCTATCAACCAAGCTCCTTCTTGAGTCAATTTCTCAAGTATGCAAACTTTGTTTTGCAAGCAGTCTCCTGGAGTGGATTTTTTTGTACTTACAAGAGACAGCATGTAAAACTAACACAGCAAACAGCAATAAAACTTTGTGAGACAGGTGGGGACAAAGAGGGAAAAGTTGATATCCTTATGTTTCATAGTCATGCAAAAGATACTTCCTTAAAAGGTTTGAAAGAGATGGTTTCAAACTGGTCTTACATAACTTGTTGCTGCACCAACAAACTTAAAGGAACTTTCTTTTCCTTTCCCTTATTTTTTAAAAAAAATCGTATTGCTCATAATAATACTACAGAAGTTGGACTAAAAGTCTTAAGACAGTGCAAGCCAAAGTGGTGTGCAAGTGGTCTCAGCTCCCTCAGTACTGCAACAGCATCAACAACAAAAACATGCTTCTTGAAATGTTTTAATTTAACTGTAAAGTTAAGAAACTTTAATAGTCAGCACCTTTAAAATAACTTAGATAAAAAAAACCCCACTATTTTATATTCCTTCTTCCCAGTATAAAAACTGCAGTTTGTCAGGCCAAAATCAGAAATCTAAACTGATATAATGAAAAACTTAAACTAGATCTGTAGTATATAAATTGCATCAATGTAAATACTATTTCTAAACTATACCCATTCTACTACAGCCTTGACAATTAGTACTTGTGCTAGGAATTATTAATATACCACTGAGCAGCAGTTATACTCTGCTGGTGAAACAACGTTGACTTTGAGTTAACACTTATTAACTCTTATTAGCTTTCCAACATCTCCATGATCAATATACCAAAACATTTAAACTCTTTTAAAGTGAACATTCAAGTAGAAACTGAGCCAAACACAAAGACCATGTATATCAACACATAACATTTTCAAATGAATGAGTCAGTTAAAGAATACTGAGCAAATATTTCACCAAGAACTCAAAATGGCTAAAGACAGAGAATAGAAAATGCTTCATAAGATTAAGACAAATCCTCTTCACCAAAGCAGTCAAATAATTAAACATTTTTACCCTTACTTGATGTTGTTACAGACCGCTTGATTATCCAAATGAGTATCTCATTTAAATGTATGGTGCCAAATTAATATTTAATGTATGGTTCTGAGAGACTTTGCTTCTGTCTGAAATAGGCACTGTTGGACTGTGCATGTCAAGGTATAACTAAACTAATATTAAAACAAGATATTCTGCTGGGAAGTGTTGGGTTTTGGGATTGTTTGGTTTTTTGTTTTTTCCCTTATTTTAAAAGGAGGTAAAGAAAAGTTAGGAAATATATGTCTAAAAAACACTAAAAGTAATCCTGAATCAGAGCTGTACCCTGCGCTTGCTTCAGTACTGTGCTACATAGAAAGGTACTACTGTTCTTATACTTTAGAAAAACTAAGTGTTATATGATCATTGAACTTCTTGCTACTGCCAATTAATACATGCCTGTCACTAGCTTTGCCTTTCCTGTACGGAGAGCAGTTACTGGGTAGGAAAGATAAAAGTACACAATGCTTATCTTTACTTGAAATATATTTGTCGGTATCTGTTTCAGATAAGCCTTCCATGGTTTAAAGCAGTTTTATACACCGCAG